TATAGTAAGCATTAGTCTCAATAGAACCCACATATTTGGCATGACATCCTGTAACTTATTAGTGTTTATGAACCTAACGACTTCTTTACATCTTCAAGAAATAATTCTTTTACAATATTCAGTTCAGTCAAGAGACCGAAACACAAGAAATAGCAGCATGATGGCACCCTTGGCCCTGATGGCACCTCGAGCGACTGTAATGAGGCAAAAAGCTTCATGAACTAAGAATGGTGCTAACACACAAAAGAGATAAAAACAAATTTTTCATAGTTCTTCATTTCTGATTCCAGTTTTGTCTATGTATTGACTATGGTTGAATGTAATTGTCAGAAATGTCTTAGAATTGATGAAGTTTGCACTAAACAATAAGAAAGGAAAGAAAGAACAGGGTAAAAATAATATGAAGGAAACAATATATGCAAGACAAAAGTCAGCAATTCCAACTGTAATGAAACAAAAAGCTTCACAAACTAAGAATGGTGTAAATGCACAAAAAGGGATACAGACAAGCAGGTTGCTGGTACCTTGGGTAAGCTGAGATTACAAGTATAATTTTAAAAAATTTTCACAAGGAGAAAAACTGAAAATATGAAATAACAAGTTTATTATAATATACAACTTAATACAAGCTAAAGAAAACATTCATTATTCAATCTAAAACATTTTTCTAGCGTTTAGATATGCAAATTTTTTCTTTCTACTTTAGTTAACTAAAGCTTCTCTCTCCAGTGGCCACAGCAATGGTTATAGTAAACATTAGTCTCAATAAAACCCACATATTTGTCATGACATCCTGTAACTTATTAGTGTTTATGAACCTAACGACTTCTTTACATCTTCAAGAAATAATTCTTTTACAATATTCAGTTTAGTCAAGAGATCCCAAACACAAGAAATAGTGGCATGATGGCACCCTTGGCCCTGATGGCACCCCGAGTGACTGTAATGAGGCAAAAAGCTTCATAAACTAAGAATGGTGTTAACACACAAAAGGAATACAGACAAGTGACTGCAGTGTTCTGACTTCAGGACAAGAAAGAACAGAACTAAGTCAAATGAGACCAAGAATTGGTTTGTTTTATTGACTAGAAAGAAATCCCAGCATGTATTTGTACAGTCTTAGGGAAGGGGATGTTTTTGCAGTCATTACCACAGTAATTGGAACCAACCATCTATTCTTGCTGGCCTACCTCTAGATATTTTTCCATAATATCGGTGCCATATTATAAGCTATTTTTCTTTTATAATCATATACAAAAGCATAAACATATGTATAAAAAATATAAGAATGAAAATTGAATTCTCTTCTAATAAATACTTTTAATTTTCTGAAAAATGATATTGTTTTTTTTTTCAAAATGTGCTAATTAATCCAATAAGTACATTTTGAAAAATACATTACTATTTTACTTAATTACTACATTTTGAAAAATGCATTACTAATTTACATGATTAGTACATTTTGAAAAATACTTTATTAATTTACATAATTACTGTATATGAATTCTTTTTAATCAAAAATTTTTTTCAATGTCAGCTGCATCATACTGTTGAAAACTTGGGGCTGCAAGCCAAGTTTATTCAACTAAAAGTTAACTGGAAGATAGTGTCAGAGTCACCAGCCTTTTCTTAATGTTAACATAGTTTTCTGGTTTTAAGTATGGAAGTCAATACATGCAGACTGTAGCACAATCATTTAATTCCATTTCATGAAATACATCTCTTTGATGCTTTGGCATACAACATCAGAGATGTTTTTACCCAAGGGTCATTATGAGGTTTTGGATCTTCCAACATCATGCCCCTTTTCCACGGTAACCCAGCTGATACCAGTCGAATATCGACTTGTGTGCCATCTGCCAGGTACAGCTATTCTCATATAATATAAACCTTAACACACTATGACTCCTCTGGCCTTTATAGTCCATTCCCAAACAACCTCCAGGTTCACCAATCTCTTTGCTGTTTCATAAAATAACATTCATACCTTTCCAAAGAGCATTAGTGCAAATTAAACATAGATTACCTCAGTCAGAGTTTGAAATTGGCTGACCAATTCTGTTTGCTATAATAATAGACATTTGACTAATAGCATTTTTACACCTGTAATTATGGCGCTTTTGGCTTATGACATGTCACATCAAAAAAAAAGATTTCCTTTTTCCAGTTTGGCCACAGACAACAGTTTTGAACCTAAATTGACCTCTGACATTTTCTACTAATCTCAGAGGTGATCATGACCTACTCAGTCCATCATTGAGTTAAGCTACTCTTGTTATCTAATTTCTAATTCCCAAATAACAGATATATTACAAAGCAATTTGTAGATTTATCTTTTTTTTATTTTTAACAGCAATATCCATATAAAATATGAACTCTCACATCATTGCAATAATCGAGGATATTTAACAAAATTTAAATTATGTAACAGTTAGTCTCAGTTCAGCATTCGAAGATGGTGAGGAAAATTTTATATATTTATATTTTTTTCTTTTTCCAATATCACCTTTCCTGAGAGAATCACTACTCTCCCAAGCCAACGTACACAACAAATATATCAAAAAGTCAAAAGAAAACGGTTGAATCCATTAGCACACCAATACAAACAATATTTCTGCAAGTGAAAATATTCTCTTCAAACATAAAATAATTGTATCTGTCTATATTTCTGAGATGAGGTATTATGTACATTATTTACATTATTCAGACTATAGTCCTCATCTTTGTTACCATATTTATTACAATGTTTCGGCCATTGTATGCTCCAGTGTGTGTGTGTGTGTGTGAGAGTGTATATCTGTTTTAGCATTTATTTTTTTTATATATAATAATACACACATATTTCTATTCTTAGAAGTATTTTTAATTTTCTATTTTAATCCAGATTATATATAAATTCTTTCTGCATCTATGTTAGGCATATGAATGACAAAGTGGAAAAATTCTGTGTAATAAGAATTATCCTCTAGAAGGATTTCTCTCATGCATACATGTATCTTTATTAGTTCAAACATTATTTTTAGTGGATACACATATTTGAGTTGAGGTTTCATTATATTTTTAATGGTATTTAATTCATCTGCCAACCAGCAGACTTGAGAAAACATACCCTTCAGCAGGATTCAAACCAGCATACAACTTTGCAGGAGAGACTGACATCTGATCTAGTGTGCTGTAACTACTCAGCTACAAAGAGCTTTTACAGTCAAGCAATGTTCTTTATTTTTTTTGCTGGAGGGCATGTTTTCTAATTCCCAAGGTAAAAGGCCATGCAAATCTGTGTAACTGAACAGGAAATTTACTTTAGCCCGTCTTTATTCACCAGGAAAAAAAACATGTAAATGTTAAAACATCCAATTACTTAAGATGAGTCTAATGGTAGGGGAGTAATGGTGTTCTATCCTCAGAGGGGAATGAGATGAAGAGTAGGACTACTCTGAATGCAATAACTGAAAGCTGCAACAGGAGACCACTTCACTATCTGTACAACAATAAACTTCTGGATCTATGATCACCTCTGTCATGAATGCACATGGTTAGCATCAAGGAATTTAAAGTTCATTATTATTATTATTATTATTATTATTATTATTATTTCTTTTCATCCATGTATATTCTATCAATATAACACTTATCAGTAGGGCTTATAATCCTTCTATTTTAATCACAATTGCCATATTCAATATTCATGAATCCTGTTTATCTTTTGTCCTTTCCTCAATCCTCCATATAATCAGTCTTATCCCTCACTTTTGCTCCCTTTAACACCACACACACACACACACACACATATATATATATATATATATATATATCTATTATCTCTATCTATAAAAGGCAGGATGTGTGTGTGTGTGTGTGTAACGAATGTACGGCTGCAATTTTCAACGGACTTGTACCAAAATTTACATGCACATGCTCCAAGTTAGTGGGAAGGCCATGACTGATGTTGCATTTCTCAACTCCCATCGATGGTGGAAATAATCAATTTTTTCATGCTTCTACGGCAGTTTTCATGTAGTTTGCGGCTATTTTCTATTGGCCAGAGTGAGAGCCAATAGCTGGCTGCCACAAATAGGAAGGAAGATTCTATTGGCCAGCTTGAAAGCCAACAGCTGACTGACACGAATGTTAACTAGCATGCAAAAAAATCAATAGCTTCGTTTATCACAAGTGAGAAAAATTTAAATCTGCATGGCACTTTACTCCAATTGGCTCATTCACTTGCTTAAACTCAACGTTGATTCTGATTCCGCAGAACTGGGTTGGGTGTGAAAAAGTATTTGTTGTTAACATTCTTTTTTCATTCAGTTTTTCCAGTTACGAGTCCTTTTTTAAAGCTGATCGTTTTGTGTTCATTTTGTTTAGTTCTTTTTTCGTAACAGATTTAATGTTTAGTATAGAGTTTAGAAAAAATTTGCAGTGTGAGATAGGTAAGAAGTAAGGCATGTAGCAACATCAGCACGGCAAAGGGCACTCCTTTAAAGGCAAGGAAGAACAAAAATATTTTAAGTCAAGTGATAGCGATTTCTGTATGAGTCTTATGATTTTTGAATCAAGCACGGGCAACGCCGCGCCATGAGATGATAAACAAATGCGAAATGTTGTGTAGTTACATCAAATTCAAAAATTTTAAAAAGACACTCCTGTGTAAGCCTCTTTTTGGATATTAGTAACTTTTCCTTTTCTTTTTTTTTGACATGACTTACAAAGACCAAAAAGGTAATCCTAAACAAGCCACTAATAAATCCCCTAAACCCCTCAACATTTCGTTCTCCAACATCTGTGGCATTAGAACAAACTTCTGCAGTATGGAATCTTTCCACACTGCAAACTGCACAGATATACTGGCTCTCTGTGAGACCAACCTTGACTCATCTATCCCCTCCTCTGATCTCTCGCTCCCAGGCTACCTTCCTCTCCTCAGAAAAGACTCTCTAACCCACATGCATGGCCTTGGTGTCTATGTCAAGGAACATATCCCTCTGGCCA